CCTCTGTCAAAAGCTAAAAGCAAAATAAAAATCAATTTAACCCAAAATGCAGTCAAGTGCGTAAAGACAGCCGAACGAACGGCACGCAGAAGCGCTTTGGTTTTGTAAACAAAGGCCAAAAAAGCACAACAAACAGTCAAACTGAGCTCAGTCGTTGACCTGGCGCGTAATTAAAGCTGCTTCCAAACAGAAATTCATTCAGCGCCGGAAGTTGTTTAACAAAAAAAAAAAAATCGTGCGCCGTCCTTTTCAGTAACAAAACACATCCTGTTGCGACGTTGTGAGTGGCCGCTGTAGGTTTTTGGTCGCTAGCGGAAAATCCAAAGTGCCAGAGCATAGAAAACCCCCAAAAACAATACAAGCTAAAATTGGAAAACCAAAAAAAAAAAAAGAAAAACATGGGGGCAGGGTGGAAGGAGGGTTTTAATTGTCGGTCAAAAGGGTTGACAATAATTGGAACAGCCGCAACATGGCGCTGGATTCTGTTATATGTGCCAACCACCTTCGGGTGTTAGATAGTGGCAGCTGCGCAAAGTGCAAAAATTGAAATCCCTTTCGCTATTAAATCGCCAAAAAAAAAAAAGAAGAGATTTTATGGATTTGGCACAAGGGCGGAATTGTCAGAGACGGAGGTCGTTACAGCGGCTGTCCCAAGCATGCGTTGGGTCTTGTTCAATGTGTTAACTCTGAGGCTTGGCAATTTCCAAGCAGAAATTGAAAACTTCTTTGCATCTATTTCGTCAAAAAAAAGGGAGGCCGAAATCTCGCTCGAAAATCTCTTTCCCCTGCTTCTCCCAGCATACTTTTCTGTCAAACTGCGAAAAGAAAATCGGAACCCGAACGTGTGCGGAGCTCATCGTACCTGATTCTGTGTTCTAGTTATTGTTCCGAAATCGCGGTACATTCGTGTAGTCTACTTTTGGTACAGCTGCTGCAACCACATAGGCAACAACAACTACAGCTACAACTGCCACAACACTCATACTATAAATTGCAGAGCAATTAAATTGCACAATTGTTGCTGTCAGTTTTCAGGGCCTCTCGTTATTCTGCTGCCGCACTTGTTTGCGTGTCTTACAACATTTTGTTAAGCCTGGCATTTTAGCACCTCAGCAGCAGCAGCAGCAGCAGCAACAACAATTACAAAAACAACAACAACAGCTGATCGCCGGCATTCCTTGCCAGTGTGTTTTTTTTTGTATTATTGTTTTCCTTTGGAATCGCTGAACATGTGGCAAATGTGGCAGCTGCACGCATCCTGCGTGCAACGGGCACAGTTCGAGCTGTGCGGGTCGGGTTTGTGTCCCTGCTAAGGCATTGCATGACAATATGCATGCCATTTATAACGCACAACAACAACAATAACAAAACTAAAACGCTTAGCAACACAACAATAACAACAACAACAACAAGAACAATCAAACAAGTGATTAGCTCTTTTGTTGTTGCCCCATTTTAAATAACAAACAACAAAATTACTTTATAATTACACATTAGCGGATAAAATATTGCACACACCACACATGTGTGTGTGTGGGTGTGTGCACTTGGTGCATGTCTCAGCAGTCTGTGGTTGTGTGCGCGTGTGTCTCTGTGTGTTGCTGACGAGGCGCCTTTCTGTAATTGCTTTTGTTATTTTGCTTTTATGATGTGCGCTAAATTGTTGTCATTATCGCCATTATGTGCGTGTGTTTGTGTGTGTGTGTGTGTGTTAATAATTGACTAGCTTTCAATAGATGCATTGCTTACACATAAAGATATAAGCTTAAAGCATTTGCCTAAACATTTAAAGTCAACCATGATAGCTCAAATGGTTTCATTATTCATTAATTTGAGCCAATTTTATAAGCCTTGTCATTTTCATATATATAAATCGAGCACTTACTTAGGCAGTAATATTTACGATGCTCCGACAGAATTTATACTTTCGTTAGGTTTTCCCAGAATTAAACGCAATGTGAAGCTCTTTATGTTTGTGAAATAATAGACTTTAAAACTATAATAAATTTCATTTAATAATGGTTATAACCAACGACAAAAGCTTTAGGCTCTTGCAAGTAGTTTGACCGCAATTTCATAGAAAATGCCAAGTAGCACAGCAAGCAAATATTTTTGCGCTTGATTTAAATAAATTAAGTGATTGTATAAATATTAGCATATCGTATTTAATTCCAGTTGAAGCACTTAATGTTTATGAAACAATCAAACGATAAGATCTTTCATAAATGTGAATTAATGAAAGATAATTTTATTTGTTTTTTGGTGAACATAGATAAGCTTTGCCCAACTTGGAGAACATTTTAAACTATAAAAATAATTAATTAACAAAAAAATTAAAAAAAATGAATTGAGAAAGAAATAAGGAAACAAATTCTAAAAAAATACCTTGCCAATTGCTTCTTTTGATAGTTAACTATATAATAAAGTAAGTTCCATTTAACTCATATGTGTAGCTCGTAATTTATGGAATTTGGGTTAAAAAAATTTTGAAAATAAAAAAATGGCATAGTGACATAACTTCGCCCAGTTTACTTTTCCTGCGGAATTTTGCCGTTTTTTTCTGTCGAAATTATGACGAGATCAACCGATTAAAATATTCTCTACACAAGAAAATTACCAAGAAACATTTTGGTATAAGCGCAAGAAAGTACAGTTGCATGAGATGCCAAGCCCAACAAGTTTAGAAGATAACCGCAGATGCTAAACCCATTTTCTTGATAATTTATTAAGTTTGGTTTCTGGATAAAATGTTGTTAATTTTATAAGCGCTGAAGGTGTTGTTTTAGAGCATGCAGAAGCGTTTTAAAAGTGAAATGTTTGAAAGTCACTTTCATTCATATTATTCCTGCTGTCTGTTGGGGCGCAGCTGTAGCTTGACTGCAGTTGAAAGTCTGCACTTCGAATGAAAATCGATTTTCGGCAGCAGAAGCAATAAAATTGCAAAGCCTATTTGCCACATTCAACATGTTGTACTTTCAACTGGTGACAGAGTCCGGATAAGTGATTGCGTTTTGTATTACTTGATGGTGCACCTGGTTAAGGTTCAGTTAGTGTATGCAACGACAAACAAGCAAGAGGTTCTAGTCGGGAGCTCTCGACTAGGGAATACCCTGGATCCTCTGCTTCCGACAGGCGATAGGTATAAAATGAAAGATACTTGATATATATATTCTCTTCTAGAAGCTACATGTCAAGTTTGGTGACTCTAGCTCATATTATTTTCCGAAAATGTTCAATAAACAGGATTTCGATATAGATTTTTACCGATTACTTGGAAACGGGGCAAGTTATCGATTATCGAAAACAAACTCGATCTGCGCATGGACTAGGAGGACCTACAGCTAAAATTTCAAGGCTCTTATAGGTTCTGAAATCCTTGCGATCATACATACGGACGGACGGACGGACGGACAGACGGACATGGCTAAATCGACTCGGCTGTTGATGCTGATCAAGAATGTATATACTTTATGGGGTCGGAGATGCCTGCTTCTGCCTGCTACATACATTTGCACAAATATATATATATAACAAATATATGCAATCAGAAATTATCAAACGAAATATTAAGCACACATAATGTATTGTCGTTAAATGCATTACAGTGGCCGCTCAGAACAACACCTTTGAAGTTTAACAACCGGAACGTGCTTCTCGACCAACATACAACAACATATAATCAACTGTTTGGTTAAGGCACAACCACACACACACACACACACACACACACACGCATCGTCCATAAGCACGTCCCGCACATTTGTGAAACATTAAAACGTCTTTTCGGATTGAAACATGGCCTACGCGTTTTAACTCTCCCTCCCCGCTTCGTAGCACATTACTTGCAGCATCTACTCTTTGACCTGTTGCAGTTTGTTCGCTGCGTATGCTCAACAAATTGTTTGTGTGTGTGGCAATAAAATTATAACAACAATACGAACAACCACACTCAATAATTGCAATCTGGCCCAGCAGCAGATTGACCCACAAGATGTGTTCTCTTGGCCAAGTGCAGCAGCAGCAGCAGCAAAAGAAGAAGAACAATCAGAGTTATGGCCATAGCAAAACGCATTTTAAAGGGCTTTTAGCTGCCTGTTGGCTTTATTGGCCACAATGCACACAACTAACGGTAATCGCAGCAATTGTTTGTCGTTTGAGACGTTTTGGCCCAGAGTATACGTACGTAATATAAATACGAGACAGACCAGAATTTTGGCTAAAAGCAATTTAATAATTGGCCTGTTTACTGTTAACACGCACTCACATACTTGCAACCAATTAGTTTGATTTACACATTGCGTGTGGTTTTAAATGATATTTTAAGTTGAATATAAGAAGAGTCACAGAAACTAACAAAACTTTAAAGTTCTCGATTAGAAAACTGAACAAAGCAAATCTGGGTTTGAGATCTTGGCCAAAAGTTGCGTAGATGGTTAAATATTGTACCCATATGCTTCACATAATAAAATCAGGTAACAAATTTAATTAATATTGAACGATTTTAGATGACGCCAAAAAGTAGGCAATCTTTTATGGCAACTTGGGAGTTTCGGGAAACGACGGCTAATCAGAAGGTTTGCAGGGAGCAATAGAGAAAAAAATTGGAATATCACAATTTAAGTAAAAACCAAAAGTAAAACACTTACAATAATTCAATAATTCAAAAAAATTTTTGAATATAGAATTAGTTGTTTCACAAAGCTATTTATATATGTTTCGTAAATAAAATAAATATATATACAACAAATTATTTGAACTGACTACTGAAAACTACAGAATTCAATATTTTTTTGTAGCAATTTATATTGAAAAATATTTGAGAGCTAGCCAATTGGGTTTACATATATCTCACAAGACTAGGCTAGGAAACGACATATATAAATTAAGCTAAAAAAAAAAAATCTATTCAGATATGTATTTGATGGTAGTTAGATGTAGGTTATGCATATAAGTAAAAGGTATTTGATAATTGTGTTCGGTGAGCAGCTGTTAGAGCTTACCTTGTGGCTGTCAGGCAGGCAAACGCTTTTATTGGTGTCTGAAACCTGCAATATATAAAAGAAACCAGAAAAGAAAATGTCGCCACTGGTATAAAAAATTTTCAATTGCTCGCTATGTAATTTCTTTTTTTTTTCGTTGGGGGGGGGGGGGTTCTCTTTTTCTGGGGTTTTAGGAATTTGATGTTTGGTTTTCATATTGATTGGCAAAAATGTTTGCAATTTACTTTTTTTGGTTATGGGGTTATGGTGAGAGAAAGGAGAGAGAGAGGAACGAATGTTATTTCTGTCTATAAATATGCGAAAAACTACATTTGGGTTGCGCATTTGCTATGCATAGTTAAATGTGTGTGTGTGTGTGTGTGTGTGTGTGTATAGTATATATGTATGTATGTGTTTACAAGGACAATATCAAATGGGTTTACATGGTTTGTATGGCCGGCCACTTGTTTTGGATGCTTATCAATTAAATGTAAAAGAATATTGGTGTTATTTTAGTTTTGTGTTTTTGATGTCTGGCAATATTTGAAAGGCGCATATATAATTGTAAATACAAAATGCACAAATATTTTAATTTGTTACGCATGTTTCACACTTAATAATGGCTATTTACAATGGGTTAGTGAGACACACACACACACACTCACACACACAGGTCAGACGTTTGTTCGATTATATAAGATTTTCAATTCAACGTTTATAAAACTAATAATAATTTCTGTACAAATTTAAACATGATTACAAAAATGCACAACAATTGTTAAACTCCACTCTGACCAGCGTCCAAATATGTCCAATACCGAAAATGATGTACAAACACACACACAAGCACTCACATAAAAAGAGTACAACCTGTACGGTGTACACATAGCATCATGAACAACTACATGTTAAGCCATAAATTTAAAAATAAAATTAATATATAATTCGAGTTGTTAAAAATGTTGATGTAAAATTCAAACATGTTTGTGGCTAGCAGAAAAACAATTAAATTTCATTAATTAATTACAAAACCAAACCATTTACAAATAAGAAAATATTTATATAAAGCACAAACGCGCGCACATACAAACAATTATGTGCGCTGATCATACACAAAACTGGTTGTTGGAATTAATAAACAAATGTAAGCCACGCAGATTTACAGGATTAATAATATAGCAGCAGCCTCCCCCCCCACCCACCACACCGCGCGGCCAAAGTTGCTTTTTTGTTTGTTTATTTACGCGCATAAATTATGCAATAAATTTTGCAAAATGTATAAATTGGCAGTATGCATTTTATTTGCTGTAATTTATGCTTGCCTACTTTTTGGGGCGCCAAAAACATACACACAAGGGAGAGTGGAATGGGTTTAAGGACCAACAGCTAAAATTAGTACAGATTGTACATACATATACGACTATATCTACAGCCCCTACAAAAATGAGTTTATATTATTAAAATGAGTTGCTTACAATTAGAATTAAGAGACAACAACAACACCAACAATAAGAGACACGAAATTAAATTCAATAGCTAGAGTTAAACAAAATCAACAACAACAACATCAATGATAATAGTTACACGAATCATAAATAGACATCCATAAATTGTGTATTAGTTTGTGTCTATTTATTTAAATATTTAATAAATATGATTTGCTGCCATAATTGGAATAAATGATATGAACAAACTCTGCGTATGGGACGTATGCATAATATTGATTGCATTAAACCTCAAATGTATATACATATAATTATGTGCCAATTATTGAAAGCTGATAACACACATGAACTGATAATAAGATAAATGTTGAATTGATATAAGCCTGCTTTGATATTAACCTAATATTTTTTATTTAAATCCAACAGTTGAAAAGCAGAAATGGTATGTGAAGTATTTTGGTTGATTTTATTTAGAATATATACTTAAATTTTATATATGATATATTTATATATGATCTGCTCAATAGCACCATATTAATTTCAATAACTTCTGCAGCTGTGTCTCTTTTTATTTTCTCTGTAGATAGTCTGTTTATTGTAACTGAATTATGTTAATGGTATTCGAACTATGTATGTTAACTACAAGAATTCAGTTTTTTAATTATATTTACTTTAGGTGAAGTAACTCTCGTGCTAAGTTATGTTAACGGCTTACACAGCTAAGAGCAGCTGAGATATGTTAATGAAACTGAGTTATGTTAAATAATTGCAGTAATAGCAGCAACTCTGTTGTGAGTCTTGCATATTAATCTATGTTAACTGAGACATAAATAATGCTGAGGCTATATGTTTCTGCTTTTGCTGAAGTTACTCAGATGCTAAGGTTATGTTAACAGCCTACACAAATAACAGCAGCTGAGCTATGTTAATGAAACTGAGTTGTGTTAAATACTTGCAGTAAACAACTCTGTTGTGAGACTTGCATGTTAATCTATGTTAATATCAGACAATGCTAGTTTGACTAAAGCTTTCTGAATAGCATACATAGCTTACTGTACCCAAATTAAGTTAATCTATGTTGTCCCGTGAGGCACACTAAAATAGCTACGTTATGTTATGTTATGTTATCGTCTTCTAAGTACTAAGCAGAAATGTTAGCCATTGTACAAGTTCTTTCTTGTTTAGCTAAAAGCGCTTTCATCCCATGTTAACTGACACAGATTTTTAGACCTGTTTTAGCTATATTTCCCACAACGTTGAACAGTCAACTCTTTAAAGCGGCAACACTTTTCGGCATCTTTTTCAGCTGACAGTCATGTGTCTTCTACCCTAATTATTCGCGTCGTAGGCTAAAAGCCCCGTTAGCCAGCAAAAGCTCGACGGGCAAATAAATCCGTGACACCAAAATGTCAACAAGCAGCAGCAGCATAAACACTCGAGCCAACCACTGAAAAGGCTAATGAGTGAAAGAGGGGGGATGAACGGGGAAATGCCTGCGGCAAACTCGTAATTAGGAGCATAAATTGCACTCATGAATTTTCGCACATTACGAAAATCAGGCAAGTGAAAAACTTGTGAATACATTTAATATATTCATATGCATATTCACAGGCCCAAATATAAATTATTGCGCAGTTTCCGTGACTGAGATAATTATATGAAATATACTATATAATTTCTTTAATATATTTAATATATAAATAAGCTAGTAGATTTGAATCACTTGATAAAACAAATTAAAAAATGTTAAAAAAAAGAGATAGAAGATTCTCAACAAAATTCTGCTGGATGGGCATCAGTTTTGGCATTTGCATTTCAATTTGGCGCAACTGTTTCGAATCTTCTTGCCTAAATGCGGATATAAAATGTTTGGCAAATTGTCAAACAAAAAGCATTTTTAATTTCCTGCCATAAATTGTTTATGCAAATACAATATATAATAGAAATTTGCCGCTTCTACCACAGCTGCTACGATTTGTTGCACTAGATAAAAGCGAAAATTTTGTTTGGAGCAAGGTCTTGTTTCTGGATGCGGTTAGGGTATGCACATGGTTAATGTTTGTTTGTTTTTATTATTATTACTTTGTGTTTTTGGCTCGAAAGTTAAATGTGTTGTATGCAAAATAAACTACAGTAAATGCAAATTACAAATGCTGCGGGTGAATGAGGCGGTTGTTGTTGTTGTTGTTGTTATATAAATAGAATTTCGATATTATAAATATGATAAGGTTAAAGCATAAATATTGTTTTCTATATAAATATAGTATTATATGGTATATATTTTAATAAGCTCTACGAATTATTTACGAATTTTAGCTGCATACCCAATGTATACTTGTTGTTGACCAGAGTTGTCGCTTACCTGCAAAGAAAATTAAATACATTAATTGAATTAATACATTTTCAGTTTTTAACAAATGTGTACAAATTAAAATATAAATCGGTTCCTTTGTACTCGCCAATTAAAAATGCGTGCGGTCTTTCTGAGAATTGGCATTTAAAATGTACGCAACACTTTTAATCGATTCAAAGTTTAAGTGCAAAAGGCCTTGAATCCGTGAGGAGAACCAACCGCAATATAAAATTTAAGTAGAATGTTATGTTGTGCCACAAAATATGAAATTTATTCATCCGATAACAGATAAGTATTTCCCGAAAAGGTACTCTCTGATATGAACTTAATTTGTCTAACAAAGTAAACTAGTGTAAACCCATTAAAATCGGTTAAGTTCAAATATGGTTGCGCAGTGTAAAAGTTTATAAGAATTATATAAAAGCAAAAAAAAAAACCCTTTCTACTACACATTCTTTTCAAATCCCTATGCGCTATTTGACAACTCTGTCAGCTCTCGTTGTATAAGCCGCGCAGCATGGCGTTGCCCATATTTTTCGTTGTCAGTTTTACGTTTCAGCGAGCTTAACGCACAAATCGGACACAGAGTGAACTATATATATATATATATATATATATATATAGATATCTGTATAATACGTATAGGAGTGTGTAAGCCTTTGAATGACGAATTGCAACTGACTGCAATTCATACTTGCGGGGCTTTAGACTACGGTTTATTGTTGTTGTTTCTTTTGCTGCCTCTGAGGTTGACTGGTTACGCGCGGTTATTGTTGCAAATTGTTGTAATAATTGTTGTTGCTGTTGTTGCTGTTATTATTATTATAGCAACCATAAACTGCATTTTAATTGCATGCATTCGCTTTGTTATTTCAGTTCGCTTTGCTTGTTGCAGTTAACCTTGAGGGCCCGCCCCACATAAATCGTCGACTCGAACAAAATATCTGCGCTTGCCCCGTCAATCTCATGAAGTAACACATCCATATGAATACAGATATGCGCATAAGATTATAAATTATATTTATATATATACATATATATATATATATGGTGTGTCTATAGCATTTATTCCATTTGTCGACAAAAATGTAAATGAAATATTTATAATTGCATATGAGAAAAAAAAAACAAACTGTTTAAATTTTCGACTGGTTCGTGTTGGTTTTACGCTTTTGGCCAGGTTGAGTTGTGTCTGCACTTCCTGCACTGCAAAAAATAATACGAGTGATGCTTACAACAAATTTGTATGGCATTTTTTTACTAAAGCT